CATGTATCTATGGTCATTTGTAGAGCGCGCATTTCTATGCAATTGCAAATTTTTTCCTTTTAATATTTTTGGATTGTTGTCAGTTATTTCCACGAATCATCATAATTTGAACCTAATGGTGAAATTTTTTTTGCATATTTAAAGGTTATTGCATACCTATTTTTGCATATTTTGACAATTATTTGCATATTTTATTGCATATTGAAGCGAAAATTTAAAAAAATATATAAAATAATATTTTGTCAAGTAGAAAAATTAAAACTAAATTTCATAGTCACTAAATATTAATTTATATATACAGGGTGTCCCACAGAGATCCGACATTCTGACAAATGAAATAACTTTTGTTCTAATSAATATTTTTAAAAAATTTCTTTTAAATATAAAACATAGACACTTGCGCTACATTTTTAGAATACCTACGTTTTTCTTTTTAGAATACAGTTTACAAGGAGTTTATCCCAAACCTAGTCAAAAGCTTGGGTTACGTCTAAGAACACTTCGCAACAGTATTATTTTCCTTCTAATGCCTTGCTAATTATGTTAGTGACACGGTGACCTTGGTCAACACTAGAATGTTTATTCCGAAATTCAAACTGATAGTCTGGTATGAGGTGTTTTTCTTCAATAAGTAGTTTTAAAAAGCGTTTGAGAAAAAGTTTTTCAAAGAACTTTGACATGCTTGGTAGAAGCGATGTCGGTCTGTACGAGCTAGGTAGCTTGTTCTGGTGGTTTGGCTGGTTTGAGTAGCATAATCATTTGCGCCTTTTTTGATTGTTTAGGGTAGGGAGTATTCTTGTTGTAGGATTGCATTGTATATATGTGTTAAGAGGATAATCGCCTTTGATAACTCTTTAAGTATGCCTGGGCTGATCTCGTCGAAACCTGGTGCCTTTTTTGGGTTAATGTTGACAATTTCTCTAACGACTTCTAGAAGTGTAAAAAATTGTATTTTTTCTCTTGTTTCTTTCAGCCTTTTAACCTAACCTTGGCATTGTATCATATTGAATTCAGTAGTGATGATTTGGGCGTATACTTCTGCTATATCTTGCTCATCGTTGCGTGCCCTAGTACTGTCTAGCTATTACCTTACGAATATGTGGTATATGAGAACGAGGGTTTTAATGCATCTTATTAGAGCTATCCATAATGAGTAATCAATGTCATTCGTGACAGATAAGCCATTCAGATAAGATTTAAATGTTTCGTTTTTCATTTCATTGATTTTGTCTCATAAAATTTTACCAATACGATTCCAATTCTTTTAATCATATGGATGTCAAGTTCTATTCTATGTTATATTCTCGTCTTTTACGCTTTTGTTGAACAATTTCTCCAATTTCAAGTGGATCTCCCGGTTATTCTCTTCAGGATTTATTGGTGTTGCCGCTTTCGCTGCATCAACGATATCATTGGTTAATTTTTGCACTATTGTTTCAATGTCTGATGATGTTTTTACTTTTTTAGTTTCACTGAAAGAGTGATGGTTTCTACGAGGATATTTATAAAAAGATTATAATCTGTTCATTTGTTTGTAAGAAAGATTTTTCGTTTTTTCACTTTGACGTTCGAACTTAGTAAGAGTAACACAGTACACAGGAATATGGTCGGCCGATAGTTCTGTAAGTCCCTCAACTTCTACATATTTTGACGAAATATTTTTAACTACGAAAAAGTCTAATAGGTCCGGTATCTTATTTGGGTCAGTAGGCTAATGCGTTGATTTTCAGGTGGAAATTACTCTAGTGTTGATAGTATTAACTGCTTTTAATAGGGTATGTCCTTTATTTGTGATGAGTTTTGATCCTCAGTCGGTGTGTTTTGCGTTGAAGTCTCCACCGATAGTGAATCTGGTTCCTAGCTTACGAAAAAAAATCAATGCATTTAATTTCATCTGCGCCTCCTTGTGTGGACAATAAATGCCCGTAACTGTAAGATCATTATTTCCACCATTGACGCTTAACCTTAATCTTGTAATTTAATTACAAGTATATTGTTTCAATTTCATTTTGCATGCGTAGGTACCAGAGTTACTTGGTAAACTAAAATTTGTGTTGACGCCGTGGGAGTACCTATTATTCGTCGAGTCCATTGCTGGATGACGATCTGCAGAGCCGCTACGCGTGAAGGTTTAAATAATTTGTGTTAGGACACTTGACACTTTAAGGTTGTAACCAAAAAAAAGTCAATAGTAGATATTTAATTTAATTTAATAAACACTTTGCACAATTCGACACTCGCGAGGAACCTACGTGTTATTCGTTCGACAGGTAAAACGTGATTAGTCGTATAATACATATAGCTCATTAAAATATTGACTAAATTTCTAAAACAAAAATTAATTAAAACTTGCTATACAAATTATTTTTATTCCTTGTTTGAGAATATATAGACAAAAAAAACAAAATAAAATATAATATCGTCCTTGTTCCTCTAAAAAATGAACACAATTCCACTACGTCCTTTCACACGAACAAGGTACTACATTCTCGTTAAGTTCCTGAAAATTGAATGGAATCATTGGAACAAATTCCTTTGAATGCGTTACMTACCAAGCACTGTGTATTATACAGGGAACCTTAAAGAAAATTATAGGTAAATATCACCATAATTTAGCAACCAAATCTTCATTAGACACTCTTTTTCTTCTTCAATATATCTGGTTTTTGTTTGCTTARTTAAAAAATGTTCAAAAGTGATAGCAATTAGAAGTTTGACGACAATTTTTAGCTGAGTCACTTGCCCGCCCAGACAGTTTTAATTGAAAATATTCTAAACTTTCTATTAGGTATATCGTATAATATGCAAAACTACTTATGATAGGTCACATGTCAAATCGCTATAATTAATGATTTTACCTACCAATATACCATAAAACCAATAAGTACAGCAGTTATAATATACTCACAATGCAACATCTCAACAGATGTTTTGTCAAAGTGGGCGTGAAGGCCATGAATTGAGCTAGTCGAATGTGTTTCAGGTCATACAAAATAATGTTCCCGTACATGGGCTCCAATTTAAGCTGTAAGTCTAAAATGGCGATGGACACTTGACAAAACAGCATAACATCATATTTTTCATCGTCCGACGATTGGCGGGTCATGGTACAGAAAATTCTGTTACCCTCTGGCGTCAGTTTCGGGAACAAACATACAGATCTGTAAAAATGTAAAACGTTTAGTAATTAATAATTATTATGATTCATATAGGTATTATCTAATAAAATAAAAGTGCTAGACTTAGTCKCTCAATCGCGGTGCTATACCAATATAGTTTATAACTAAAATAAATTCTTGATGCAGAATTAGTGATGGGTAAATACTCGGTATTTATCCAATAAATACCCAGTATTTACCCGGTAAATTGGCAAAATTATTTTTAATTCTTAAACCAATTCATGGATATTGGATACCACAATACTTTTTTATAATTGTTTCCTGACTTTTCCATGTTATGCCACTATAATGACTAGCAAAACTAGATCTTTAAGCTTTTATTATAAAAAAAATGTATATAAACCTTACATTTAGTCTTTAATTTCAATTGAAATAAACTAAAGGCTTTAAAGTTTCATTAAAATTTAAATACAAATATTTTTCTTATGAAACATAAAGAAACATAATTAATACAATCAGATATTATTTTTTAATATTTCTATATAGGTAGGTACATAATAAGAATATAAAAAACTCAATTACCTTCAACATAACATTTAGTCTTTACTTTTTTATTGATATCTCGCTTAGAAAAATATCAGTTTCTATACCACTCGAATAAAAAAATTATGAACAATATATAATATTATTTAAAATATAATAAAAAATTGTGACTACCCCATAAGTCAGATCAGTCAGAATCAGAACTATAAAATATAAAAATCTATTTTAAATTACAATTACGAATTTAGTATAACAATATATAAAATATTATAACAATAACATAAAACTTATTAAGAGGACGCTCGTAGTTGAAATTTAGGGGGGCTTAGCCCCTCCAATTTAAAATTATCCCCTCCAAAAATTTGTAATTTAATTTAAGCATTAAATCCTTTATTAATTTTCTAATCTGCATCTACATAATAGTAAATACTGTTTATACGATTATAATCGTTGTTTGAAGATATTATTTTCTAAAGTTTAAACAACGATTCATTTTTCGTATGTTATATTGTTATCCATATTGGATCGCCCGCAAAACAATTTAACAATATTTAAGTTTAAGAATAGTATTACAAATATTGTTTTATTGAACAAGATATGTCGAATAGATTCTCCAACGAACAAATTTTGAATAAATTTGCAATGTCGAACCGATGATGTTTATAATAAATTATAACATAATATTATATAACATAAGGTATAAATAACATGGTACCTAGATGTTGATTTGCTTTAGTGAAAATATTTTATTGTATATTTTTGTTTTATTTTGCTTATTGATAATATATGCACGACTTGCATGAGCGGGGTCAGAAGCTCAGCTCAGCACAGTATACGTCTATACATACAACTGTCAACTGTATTAGCTGATATCAATATAAAAAGTTCCTAATTATTTATAGCAATATATTATTAAATTATATTTATGATTTAGAACGCGGGGATTTTAACCGGGTTGAGTCATCGTTGAAAATATTTTATTGAATTGCCTGAAGTTGTTTGGATTCTGTTTATTGGAGCTAAATTACTGTAATTTAGGAGATAATAATCTAGCCATAACGCGCGCGCCGAATAGGTTTATAAAATGTTTGGGATACACAAGACACAACCTAATCTTACCTAATATACTTAGAGACTTAAAGAATATTCGAATCAAGAATTCAAGAATTCAAATCAGTTGATTTTAAAATAAAGTAAATACATTGAGTACATTTTAGGCACAAATAGCATATTTTGAGATTTCAGGAGAGGGAGGCTAAAGCTCTATTATAATAATACCATTAAATAAGCTAAAAAATGTAGGAAATGTTTAGGGGTTATTGAAATTTGTGTTAATAGGTACTTATAAAGCTCTTAAAACCCCTATATTTTCGCTTATGGTATAAATATTAAGCATATTTAAGTTGACTTTTTAGTTACCCTTGTTTAGTAGCTTCTTTTAGCTGTTCCCTAGTAAAAGAGCCAAAAAACTCTGGAAATTCTGCCCGTGCTACGAAGTATGAATCAATAACTTGCTTTGATCTTTGCAAATTATACTTGCATCCAGTTATAAAATGCGCTAACCATTTTCTATCTGCAATTTAAATAGATGTATATGATTATAAATAGTTTTTCATATTAATTTTATAAATCTATAACAATAATTATTAATATTAATTATTATCATACATATAGATTATAGTCTATATGTATAGCAGGGGTGGCTAACATGAATACGTCCGCACAGTCACACGGCACACATCTTAAACCTATCTTCAATAATGAATGCTGTCTTGTGGTTTTGGATGTTAATGCGCGTATGGTTAATAATTTTTACTACACCTACTATTATAGGATAATTTAATAATTCATTAAAATTGACTTATAATTGATTGATCATTCAAGCCCAATTATAAGTAATAACTATATTAAGCACAAATTATAACATAAGCTATATTTATTCAAATAGCAATAAAAAAAAAAAAATAACAATCCACATAATAATATAATATAATATAAATTATATGTATAAGTTTATAATTTTTATTTATTACTTACTAAATTAAACACATACTTAAACCTGCTATTTAGATCAATTTGATAGTCTTATAAATTGTGAAACTTACAATCATAGATTAAAATGATTATATTGATATTTTATATAATCTCTGCTACAATAATKTACAACCATATATTACATATTATACAACATATTATGGTGCAAACATTGTCATTGAACAATATGTAGTATGTACCTATAGTTCTACCTATATTATATTAGTAATACTATTATAGTATATATTATAGTATGCTATGTAGCCTTAGTAACCTAACCTATGTATATATTTTAAATATTGTCATTGACCTTATAGTTCATATTTACAGTTCTATAAATTACTTAGTTAACTACTTTTTATTTATATTTTTTTTATCGAAGGACGAAATATATGTTTCATACAAAATATACTGTGAGAAAATCTGTTCGTCTAACAGGGGAAAAATACCCACTCAAAAACTCTGATGAGACTTATAAATTGTATAATGTAGTATGATGTATAATRACTATAAATTATAATGTATAAAATAATCACTAGATATAGGTAGTCTTTTTCTGGAGCGGAGACGGTTTGTCAGCCAACGATGATATTTTATATTACGTTTATAATTTATATTGTTATTATTAATATGAATAATATGCCAATATGGTAGCAGATAAGTTGAAGCAATATTATTTGCATATTATCATATTAATTTTGAACGCATAATAATATAATATATATACTTTAGAAGTTTCATGTACCACGAATAATACTTTTAAATTCCAAAAAAATAACTAAAATCGTTATTCGTGATTTTGATTTATAATTTCGTCCAAATTTGAACTTAAAATAACTATAAGAAAACCTGTGTTTTATATTTTTTTGTTATAAATAAAACTATTTACGTGAATTCTTGTTTTAAATTTAAGTTTTAATAAATTTAATTGAAATTTTAACATTAAACGCTAAATAAAAAATCTAGCTTATGCCATTTTAATATTTTTAACCTCCTGTATTGTAACAATGTGTGAGGATCTATATAGACATTAATCAAAATAAAACTAATGAAAATGGAAAATGYTATGGCGTATAGAAAATTCTAATATGAACATTCAGTGAAAATTTCATATATGTATTTTTTTAAGAATTACGTTGATGTGTGCGTTTTTATTTTCGCAGAACTATGGATTATCCCGGAAGTTGTTAACGTTAAGACGTGTCTATTATCAAGGTATCTCACTTTATTAGTTAAGTGTCATGGGCATTTTTTAAGATAATATGTAAAGGTAGAATATATTATAGCTATAATCGAATCAAATGACGTGGAACCGTAGCCATGCATATATGCATAAGTACTACACTACTGCATATRATAAAGTGATTCACATACATGCTGTAAGTATATCCGAACAGTTAAGATGTAGATATACCTATTCRTATATTAAATAGTATATACTACCTCTATATATCATAAAAAATGTCCATGACACTCAACTAATGAGTGCATGAGATACCTTGAACAGACACTTATAAGTTTCCGGGATAAT